ATAGTCCGGAGTCCATTGCATGCATGATAATTTCCAAAGTTGGACCGTGGACGTGGTACATTCCCAGATGGTTCGCCGGCATAGGAGTCGGCATCATCAGCGAGTCTCGCCATTCTTAGCACCACACAACAACTCGACAAAGAGCCAAGTTAAGCCGATCCTTTGACCAAACGTGTGCTAACCAGTTTTGGTATCTGCCCTTCTGTCCTGGGCTATTCATATTTCCTATACCCTTCTATCACGCATTCATATTTACAATTTTACCGTTCTTATTTAAATGTAGTGTGCTACTTTAAGCGACATTTATGAAAACCCTTCACACTCCACGCTTTCGTTCTAACCGCCTTCACCCTTATATTGGGAATGTTAATCAGAGTCTGCCATATTATTACGCAGTACTCCTTCCCTAGGTCTTATCACAGTCCTTCTCTTGCCATGTAGGATCCGTCTGCTATCTCCATAGTTCATGTATTTTTATTGACCCCTGCCATCCACATCTGTGCTACCCGAGACGTTATTCGCCCTCCCTTGCGCATGGGTGACTAATTCGAGGCGAAAGCCACTGAATTAGTCTCATGGTCACGCGTTTGCTACATGGACCACGTCTATGGTAAAAAAAGACCTTACCATCAGCCAAATAGCTTCAGTCTCCGCCGCGTCTTTCCTATTTCTATCCCTAATACCAAGTCTATGACTTCCCATGCCATAATCTCTTGTGTGTCAACCCATAAATGTTGTGATACTGCTTGCTTTGATTTGGTTCAATGTTGAACCACAACGTTTGTGAGTTGGTACACAAAAGACGGGAAGGAGGACTGGCAGACTCTGATCAACATTATCAGCACAAGGGTGAATGGAGTGAGAACGACAGCGTGGAGTTTCAAGTGTTTTCATGAATGCCGCTCAAAGGAGCACACTACATCGTAATGAGAACGGTAAAAATTCTAACACTAAAGGCGTGATAGGAGGATATAGAAAATGTGAATAGCCCAGGGCAGAAGGGGAGATATCACAACTGTTTAGCACACGTTTGGTCAAATGATCGGCTTCACTTCTCTCTTTGACGAGTTATTGTGTGGTGCTAAGAATGGCGAGATTCACTAACCATGTTGACTATGAAACGTCTGGGAATATACCACATCCAGGGTCCGACTTTGGAAATGATCACGCATACAATGGACTCCGGACTAGTTGCGTACATCTAACTCTTCCTACCAATATGACCAAGTTGCGAAAACAACGTCAAACAACCTTTAAGATGATTAATTTAGCCTAATGGTGCTTCTCTTAATTCTAGGGGAATCTTCGAAACCCGCACCTTCCTCGTATTAAATGGACATGGGTGTCACCGAGTCACAATGCAAATTTTATCACTCAGCTCATATTATTCTTTAGATTGTCGATTTAAAAAACGTTACTAAGCTGCTCAATTCAAGTTTAGTCGCTTTTTATTAATTAGGTCAAAATTTAATTTGAATAATATTCACCTTATTTTTGAAAAATCTAGGTATATAAATATGCTTATTGTAATCTCAAATTTAGAGTTTGATAATGTATTAGATACAAACAGATTATAAAAAGACTAAATCCGAAACCGTTTACATGCTATAATTTATATTAACCGCTTTTGATTTTATACTATTTAAATATTAACTAGTAATTTTAGTTCGAATGTTTATCGTCACAGCAACGCATTTAACCCATTCGCCTGCGCTTAGCTCTTACTATGCATTTTGATGGATAAACCACAGATTGTCGGTCACCTGCAAAAATCTTTAAACTACACAACATTTGATTGCAAATGGATACCAGTTAGTTCAAAATTCGTAGTTGTTGGTTCTTATCCTCGAAATACCGGTGCAATACAAATATACGATGTAACGGTCGAAGAGCTGAAGCTCATTACTGAGGTACATTTTTATGGTGGCAATTGAAAAAAATTAAGTTGTATATTTACCGTAAGATTAAGCTTTACTTGCATAGTCCTCTTAAAATATTAATTGTATATGTTTACCGCCTTTATACACAAAAAATATGTAATGGCTATTAAATATATTATACTCCCATATGCATGGATAAACCTTACAAATTCACTGCAAGCTTATTTGTAACGGTTGTTTCAGATATATTTTTGGGTGAACTGGTAATTAGTGAAAATTAATGACAGGTATTTCATTGATACGGCACTTTCACCTATAATTAAGGAAAGGAACGCTTAGTGTTTAAAATGATGTTGTATAAAGTCAAATTATTCTCATCGCTGTTCATTCTGCATTATTTTTTGACTTAAATATGGTTGTTTCTACTACTGTCTGTGATCTAGGAATTTAAGAATTGAGCTCATATATCTGGATTCTATACATTTTCTTGCAATCAGATATTCCATACGTAAATTTGTTAATTATCACCTATACTATCCTCGGCAAATATTAGGCTTCCCTATTCTTTATCTTTGGGAATATTTCATGGTGAAATCTTTCGGGTACTTCAGTTCTCAGTCCATTTACTATTCAAAAGCCGACATTTACAAAGAACAGATTATTTAGGTGGAAGGGCTCTTGGCTAATTAAATGTATCCACATGATAACTACTGAATAAATTATTTATTTTTTCTCCTTGCTCCATCTGCGCCGATGTGTTATCGTAATGTATCGCTGATAAAAAAATCTCTATTATGAGCTTGCTACAGCATCATGACCTATTCTGAGACAGTTTCCTAAGCCAAATCTTTCTATAGACTACTTCAGAATGAGTCGTTTCGACCGTTTTTTCTACAACTTGCATCTACATCAGGGCAAAGCTGGTTATATTGATGCGTATATGAGAATCGCGCTTATTAAATGTAAAAATTTCAGCAAAGTTTCTTAACAAACATGTCATTAGTATCGTTCCTACATGTCCATACTTACTTTACACAGGTATAAAGCACATTTTTCGATATACTAAACTTTCGAGACTTTCAGTAATTATTAACTGAGCGTTTAGTCACGCTATATCGCTTAAGGTAATTTAAGGATTGATAGTTAAGTTTTCCCACAATGAGATCAATAGGTCGCGCAGTGCTATTGATTTTCACTTAGCCTTGTCTTCTAAAAGGCTATCTTATCTAGTATGGATCGTAGTTTTTGCCTCGTCTAGATCTCAGCAGCACTTGCAACGTGGCGATATTACCACTTCACTCCATTACACCATAACGGGGCCACTGGGTAACAGGTCAATGTCGAGCCTCTTAAGTTATGTACAGTGGTACTACCATTGTAAGGTTGTTTAAGGACTGATAGTCAATGGGGATGTCAAACATGTTTAGACGATAGATCACCTTCCCTAATTATCTCATCTGCTCTGTAACTCATTGGCATCAGTGATTACTTAGTGGGGTTCGATCGCAAGATTGCCACGATACTCAATACCTAGTCCTAATCCCGCTTCGGGTGCTCAGGAACTCTAGGCATTGCCAAAACTACAGTCCATCCTGGATAATATACCATTTTCTGAAGGCAAGGCTAAATTAAATTTATTGCAATCGTGAGACTTATTCATACAATTATGGGAACACTTAACGACCAGTCCTTAAATCGCCTTGAGCAACCTAAGGTGACTATTCTCTTACTCAAAAACGACTTTGCCCGTAGTTATTTGATATTAACTCCGTAATTTTGCACCTTGATTTAGAAAAACTCTGAGGGGTCAAGGCTAATTGAAATTCAATATCTTTAATGGGCCCATTCATCTTATTCTGGTAAAACCTTAATAGCAATCATCAGTAAACCACCTTAACCTCACTTAATTTCTTAGAACTTTTACAGTCTGTTTATATTTATTGTATTTATTTATTATTTTTTCAAAATTTAGGTAGAGAAACCCAAATCATTCAAATGTTGCACTTTTGGAGCTTCCCAAGTTGCACATTCTCACTTAGCCACTGGTTCATTTGATGGTCGCTTGGCTATCTGGGACCTAAAAGATGACCGTATATCAAATAATCCATTGTATTCCACTCAGGCGCACAAGGAGATCATTAACACTATTGATGGCGTTGGTGGTATCGGAATTGGGGAAGGTGCTCCGGAATTGGCTACTGGAAGTCGTGATGGTACAGTCAAGGTCTGGGACACAAGGCAGGCTAAGCTTCCAGTAGCCAGTATGGAAGCTGGCTCTCAAGAAGCACAGGGTGACCCTACAATTGTCGGGGGTATTCGAGATTGTTGGACAGTAGCATTTGGACATGCATATAACCAACACGATCGTTGTCTCGCAGCCGGATATGACAATGGCGATATAAAGCTTTTCGATCTCCGAGCTATGCGCGTTCGTTGGGAAACTAACGTCAAAAATGGTGTTTGCTGTCTAGAGTTTGATAGGAAAGATATCGATATGAATAAGTTGGTGGCAACGACGCTTGAGTCGAAATTACATGTTTTTGACATGAGGACTCAACATCCAAAGTTGGGTTTCTCTTCCCTTACTGAGAAAGCTCATTCCTCAACAGTATGGCAGGTATCTAATTCAACGCTTCAGAAAGTTTTGCTAAGTTGATGCTTGTATTATATCTCAATATCCTATTTTTATTCTCATTTATTGCAATCAGACAACTATTTCATGTTGAAAATGCATTTTTAATAATTCATTTTGCAGAACTGGTTACTTTAAACTCAGACTTTAATTTAGAGCCCTTAAATGGCACGTATTTGATGAGCATGAGGATAGGGGAAGAACTTTATTATCTAGATAGGAAGGCTTTTTAATTAAGCCTGTCTCATTTTGGGTCGCCAAGGTCACATGTCAATAGTCCTTAGACAGCATTTAACCATATACCTGAATATCATTAGTAGCAGTAAATAGGACTTTCTCTATCATTTAATTTGAGTGATGAGCTTTCTTGGATAATGGCCCAATCAATCTCGTCTCTTATCTCATATAACTGATATAGTCACTTCTATTTATAAGCATAGCCATATATAGGCTGGATAAATCACTATCATTTATTGATTCAAGCTTATATTTATTAATGGTAAGTTTCGAGACATTGATCTGATCTTTAAAAAGAATTCTTCTCACTCTAGATCGCATAATATAATGAGGATACGATAGTTAAATTTTCCCAAAATCATATCAATAGGCTTTATGATACAAATTAATTTCAAATAGCTTTACCTACTAAAAGTTATTCTTTTTGGGATATTTTAATTTCGTATGAAAGTGCATAGTGAAGAGCTTCGTAGGTCGATCTCATTAGAGGACAACGGCTGATTCCAGTTGTACTGCAGCCGTTTGGTTCTAATTCATTGTTCAGGTTGACTCAGTACACGAAACATTCTCCTTCGTATCGGGTTAGAAAAGGCTAAGCATTCATCCATGATATGATAAGAATAATTAGAGCTGGAACTTATTCTTCTAAAAGTCTTATCTTAACAAGCGGTAAATAAAGAAGACTGCCTGGCTCTCTTACCTCACATATATATTCACAATATAATGCGTAAATGTATAAAGTTAAATACATATAGAATGGTTTGGATAATTATCCTCCGAATTGGTCATTGTAGTTTTAATGGGGGGTGTGTGCGTTAATGTACGCAATACCTGCCCTAAATCAGAGCGATAAAAAAAGCATGTCATGCTCTGGTCATCAAGGCTTAATGACCCAAGAATAAATCCTGACCTATGCTGGTTAAGTCCATCAACAACTCTTGTTAAGATAATGAGATTTAGGCTTGCATAAGTCAGGTTAAGAAACCACCTGTCATAGCCTCTCAGTCTAGGGTCATTAAGGTTCAGTAACACAAGAAAAGGCATGAAGAAGACTGCGTAATCTCTACGTCTGATTTTGTTTATAAGCTTAATTTAATATGCTGGACGAGTGTCAGTTATGTTAAAAGGATTACTAAGCTGAAAATTTGAGTCACTTTTCGTATATAAACAGAGTTTCGAGACTACCAGTAAATCAGTAATATTAGATGCACTCACCTTATTTCATTTAAGGTGATGAAGGACTGGCAGTTGAGTTTTCCCATAGTGATATGAGTAGAGATGACGTTTTCATTGAACTTCACATAGCCTTGCTTTCCCAAAAGTTGTTCTCATCCAGTGTGGACTGCACTTTCGACCTCGCCTAGGTCTTATCAACCTCCTCAGCGGGAGTTGAACCGTGACAGTGTAACATGTGAGCTTGACACGTTAACCACGCAGCCACATTGCAAGGAGTGCCCTTGGGTGACAGGGGCAGGCCAGGCCTTTTCCCATATCACATATATCATATAACTGATTTGCTGGTAGTCTCTAAACTCTGACTATATACAAAAAATAAGTAATGTAGTCGATTGCTTCATCTACAACTCCACCAAAGAATGTGATATGGGAAAAGGCCTGCTCTTCATTGAAATTCACATCTGCTCTGTGACCCAAGGGAACTCGTGGAAATGTGGCTGAGTGGTTAGCATGTAAAGCTCATATGCTGCACTTCCACGATTCGACTCTCGCTGGGGTTGATAAGATCCAGGCGAGGTCGAAACTACAGTCCACTCCCACCTGGATGAGAACGACTTTCGGGAAAGCAAAGCTATGTGAAATTTAATGAAAACGTCAGCTTTAGTCATATCATTGTGGGAAAATTCTACTACCCATTTCTTCATCAGCTCAAATGAAATATGGTGAATATCTCATATAAGTGAATCGCTTTCATTTAAATGGCGGCTCAACATCTATTTCCTTCCATTCTTCAATCAAGATAAACTTTTTCCTACTCAAATTTCCACCACTATTCCCTTCACTCAACGTATTCTATAATCTAATAATTTCAATAACCTATATTATCTTCCATTTAACGGCAGACGTATTATAATCACCATTCTATCTCATGTTCACTCGACCATGTGTTGATTCACTTCCGAGCGTTGGACCCAGCTGCTTTACAAGCATTTTTGTATTCACCTAATCGTTATCGAATAGGCTGCTATGTCTCATCAACATAGGCTCTCCCAAAGGAGCACACAATCCTCTATCAGCCAGATCTTGAGATCCAAGAAGATAGGCGATTTAGTCAGAAAGTTCGGGGATAATTACAGTGTCCACAGAAACTCTGACACTTTCTTCTTTTAGAAAGAAATCTGACTCATTATCACTATACGATTATCTCAAGATTGTATGCTACTGCATTCGACTTTGTTTTTATGAGGCGCTTGGGTCTTTTCGCAAAAGTTTAAGTGAACGCAAAGATGTTTATTAACGCAGTGGGTCCAACGGTCAGATGTGACTAAACACATTGCAGAGGTTTATACTGCAGTCAACGCTGATTGAGAATATTTTTGGGAGGCATGGCTAAGTTAACTTTGATGGCATTCCGGGACCTACTCATACCATTGAGGTAAAATTCATCTAGCAGATTCTCATCAACTAAAATTCTTTATAAAGCTTACATATGCCCTCACTATGCTTTATTGACATTATTTGAATATTATACTGCTCCAAAGAAATATTCCGTTAACATTTTTACCAAAATAAAAAGGCAATGTTCCATTTACAATTTATAGTATAGAATCTCCATTTATTTTGCACCAAGCACCTGACGATCATGATGGTTATCGTGATTTAAGCAACTCTTTTCGTTAAACATGGTGTATCA